TGTGCATGGTTTGTTGAAGTACATCGTGTGATCAAATATGCCCAAGGTAAAACTAAGGGAATATATGAGGATTTTATACACTGGGGTTTCATTAATGCTTTTAGCAGGAGGGTAACTGGTTTTCACAGGTGATGAAACCCCTGTTAAATACATAGCCCAAGAGATATTCCTCAATTTTCATATAGATATGTTCCATATGATAATATCCTTCTTTTCAAATTGCATTCAAGAGGAAAGAGCATTTAGCAAATGTTTATTAGAAGAAGGGAAGTGTTTGCTTGTTCATAAAGTTGGATCAGACAACACTGAAAGTAAAACTAACGAATAGTAAGGGTTTGTAAACTCTTTCCCAGCATGTTGCAAAAATATTTGAAGGATAAAAAACACAATAGCCTCCATTTGGTACAAATGTATGCCCTTATATTTGTCCTTGGATGTTATTTGTTCCTTGAGGCTTATTTAAGCTATGCCCTCAGAAAACTGTTTTCTTTTCAAAACACTGATATATAATGCCTGCAGACAAGAACCCTGCATGTTATTGTGCTATATGGCAGCTGTTGTTAATATAGTGCAATGTTAAGTCTTGTGTCCAGTTTCCCTCTAGCTTTCTTCTCAGAAAATTGTTTGCTTTAGGGAAGAAAATTTTGTCCACAAACAAACACTTTTCGTGCTACCAGCAAATGGGGGCTATGATTCACGTAAACACAAAATACCACATGTTATGGTGTGTTATCATAATGAAAATAGACTGGGTTGACATTTATAATATGACAATTATTCCACGAGCGCACGTTGGATATGAGATGATAGATAGCCAATGAGGCGCGTAGCGCCGAGTTGGCTATAATTATTTCATATCCAACAAGCGTAAGGGGAATAATTGTTTTATTAAAAACGCCCCCAAGAAATTATTATTCTGTAAGAAGAAACTGGATTTTTTGCTCCCATTTCATATCCAACAAGTGCGAGTGGAATAACTGTTTTATTAAAAACGCCCCCAAGAAATTATTATTTTGTAGAAGAAACTGGATTTTTTTTGCTCCCTTTTGATTTTAAGCTGACACTTACGTTTACCATATTTGTAGATTATGGTATATTGGCTCATAAACCATAATGGCTAAGCCAATAAAAAGTCTTGAATTGCATTATCCAATGATCCAGTTTTTAATAATAAAAATTATGACAGTATTCATCGTGAATTGGTGGAATATGTAGTTTCAGTATACATTCAGTCAACTCTGCACTACCACACACTCTTTTTTCCTGTCTACGGTAGCTCTGTTGTAAACCTACCTAAATTGGTTTTGTGCATACTATCTACCCTTTTTGGGTGGAATGACAGTATCTTTAAATAATTAAAGACTTATAAATATTTAATTGATCTGAACTTTAATTCTTTTGACTATAGACAAGGACCAACCAGCAAGTGATGTATGTACAGCCTCAATACCTGTACCCAGGGGCACAGCCTGGTGTGATTATAATGCAGTCTGGTTCTGGTGTGGTGCCACAGGGATACCCAGCGACAGGCCAGCCAGCTGTGTATACTGCACAGCAGGTAACTTGTTGTAACTATTGTATGTAACTAATATAAAATGAACTCTGTAGCTCAGGGACAGAGCACAACATCCAAAGGCCTGGTAACTTGTTCCATGTGGAGAACTCAGACTTTCTTGCCCCATGCATGTGAAAAAATGGACATCTTTTCCTAAGTACTGTCAAGTAATCTAATGTCAATAATGTCTATCTTTAAAAAGATTTTAAAGTGTATTCATTCAACAGCCTGGCATGGTTGCACAGCCTGGGGTAGCCTTTCAGCAACCCACTTACTGGGCAGTTCCCTCAGGATCCAACCCAGCTGGAGCAGTCACTGTGCCTCATTCAGCTGCTGCCCCTCGAATGCAGAATCAAGCTCAAGTCCAGGTGATTATGTAGGAATACATGAATTTAACACATTTTTTCCTCAGGAGTGACTGGCAGCTAATTTCTCTGCACAGTTTTACCCCTAGATCAAACATGAAGGGAATGAGAAAAAAAATGAAATGATCACCAAAGAAGCTCTTGATTCTTAATCAGATTCTTCTTGCAAGCATCGTAAGAAATGAATGGAGAACAGTATGGGAAATATGCATACTTATGTTAGGTTTTAAAGGGTTGTTGTTAACCAGTGACCTGTCCTAGGATTTTGCTTCGTCCAATTTAGAATTGCCTTTGAATTTAGGAGGCGGTGGCGTGGCCAAGTGGTCAGGGTGCTGGACATGTAATCTGGTGTCCTGTGTTCAAATCCTCCACCCTGCCACTGACTGGATTTGTTTTCGGTTGCCCCTAGTTTGTTCTCGGTTGCCCCTAACTCCTTGGCTGCGCTCTGTAAATAGCCCACTGGTCTGCCTCCTGCCAGTGGGGATTTTTAAGCACTTAGTTAGTTTACATGGTGGTGGAAAAGCCCCTCAGGGGGAGCTTCAATTTACGTATGTACTATTTATTATTATTATTATTATTATTGCCTCAACCTAAGCAAACTCTCCAAACAGAATTTCTGTGAGAATAGATTGTCATACTAAATATTTCCATAGATACCTACAGCGTTGAAGGATGAGGACTTACCACCACCATATTCATTTGCACAGACAGTCAATGTACCGCCAGCAGCTTCCTCTTCTGTAGATGCCAATCCAAATAATTAGTTTCTGGTCCCATTAATCAATGAATGTGCAGTTACATCTGGAGAGCTTAATAGTGTAATAGGGGCATGCTTTAGGAATTTATGTGCTTGTGAGCTCATGTAGTGGAGGGGACAGGGATGGGAACCAGGGAAGAGGAGTGGTAGGAAAGGACAATGGGATAAGAGAGGAGAGGGTGAAAAGTGGGAACTGACTGAGGGAGGGAAATGTAAAAATATGAACAATTATGCATAGAAAAATGGGAGATGCATTTAACAAAAGATGATACTGTGACCCAGTGGGAGAGAAGGGTAATGTAAGCAAGAGATTCCCCCCCTTCCCCCATCTATATGTAATAGGCTGAATTATGCAGGCACACTTTTTGATTGGCTCTTACTTATGAGCTATTGGAGGACAGACAATAGATGATGTCACCAATGATATTTTGCTTCTTTATTATATAAATATAAAAAATATGGTTAGAGATGACGTCACAATGTGGTTTGAAATCTTACCACATTTTGATATCATCTGTTATTACTGAACAGAGGCGTGGCAGCATGAAATTTCTTGCAGTGTGTAGCTTTGATGTTCATGAAGATATGGGTAATAATATAATACCATAATTATGACAATGATTATAATGCTATAATTAATTAATGTGGTAATATTAGTTAATAATAGGCCAGATTTGCATTTTATTAGGAAATTATGATTTAGATGTGACACTTCTTTTTTCTATATTGAAATGCTAAATGCAACTTTTAATCCTGAATTGCAGCCCGTTTTTTAAGTATTTTAACTATAATAGTAGTGCTTATAATAAGCTACCGTTGTAAATATAATTTTTCTCCTTGAATAATTATTATTTTGTTCAGTTTTGTAGGGCAGGATTCATTGCAATAACGTTGTAGCCTTGACATGTTGAGTTAAAACTCCATTTTAAAGCAATAAAGTGTGTCAGACATGCTATTTGTTCCTGTATATTTTGCTTTCATCAACTACGAAACCTGCAGGAAGAAATACCACAGTGACCACAAAATGTTGCTTTCATTAATTTTTGTCGTTTTTTGGGTACTGTCGTTTGTCACTTAACAATGTTTGACTTGTATACTTTACAAAAAAAAGCAACAACAACGAAATCATAATCTAAGCCTTTTAACGTTTCAAGATTAAAAAGAATCTGCACGTTCACGGTACACCACAAACAAACCGAAAAGATCGACCTAACATTACTGACGGATTGAAACCGACCAATCACGACCGACTTACACCACTTGAGTCTTCTAGCCATTAACATGACGGCTAAACTAACCAATCAGTTCACGCGAACCGGACTTAAGAAACTCGAATGACAACAACAATATACTTGACTCTGATGATGACCTCTGCTTATGTTGTCAAAACGTCAGTCATTACGAACGATAACAGTCCTTAAGACTGCACTCACCCAGACGATCACACTACACGATATCAACCCTTGAGTTTCAATTAGCCTTTTAAAGTGGAATACACGAACGAATTTGCTAAGGGTTACCTCTTCAGTTTGCTATTGACTTCGAGGAAGAGAATTTCGAGGAAAGTAAAAAAAAAAAAAAAAAAAAAAATCAGACTCCCGCTTTGTGGTCGTCTGCTTTTGTTAATCACTTGACGTGTGATCACAGACCAAACTGGACCCCACTCGGTCCTAACACGCCTAAAGTTTGTGTGCGAGAAAATCGTGTTAAAACGCTACTGTAAATGACATATTCAAGATACCTAAGTTGATCCATATCATAATTATTATATTATTACAGTTTAGACTTGCTGGTTTGCATGAGTGGCCGCAGATATTTGTAGTAGCCCGGTTGTACCTGAAATGAAAATACAGTCCTTCAATAGACCGTCGGCAAAGACATAAGAAAACAGGTTTAGTTGCCACAGCAACGAATATTTATTGTACGCAAGAAGGTGGTGTTTATGGATTGGAAAATCTAGTAAGTAAGAAAGTAAAAAACTTATTTAAAGAGGGTAGCACTTTAGTAAGTGCTATTAAAATAGCCAAAAAGGTAATAAAATTGTGGCTATCAAAAACCAAAAATAACCGACGGTATATTTAGTAACTCTGGCTTAATTTAAACCGGTTTTGTCGTACTGCACTGAACTTTTAATACTTGTTAATGATATTTGGGAGCATCTACCAAAGTTTCCTTGAACAAATTGTAACCTGCACTATGCAGTCTTGGCAAAGTCCCCCCGCAAAGTGTTGTAAAGTGTCATGAGCTACAGGATATGGCGCTATAAAAATTCCTCTTATTCTTCTTATTTAACAATAAAAAATTGCGATGAACATTTCTTAAAATCAATTTAAGATTAAAAAATTACTAAAAGACGACGACGTCTCGACGTTAGCCAAACGTCATTATCAAGCCAAAATATGTTTCAGTTCCAGTCTATAAATACTTAAAAAACAATAGCTAATTAAAAGCTCTAACGTAAGAAAAAGATGATTAAAAATATTGAACAAAAAGTTTCGCACGTATGGAGTCCGTCTGGATATTTAAATTAGGCTTAAGATTCTTGATGAAGAGCATTTCAAATACTAAACAATCAAATTTGCCCTGGCATTTTCTTAAAACTGTGAATTGGTTTTCTTTGAAGAGGTTGTTGTTACCGTGAGTTTCTAAGAAAGGTCTAGCAATTGCCGAATTTTTGTGTTTCGCAATGCGTTGATGAAGGTATCGGGCTGTGTATCCGACATAATCTGCATCCCACAGATCACACGAAAAAAGGTAAACAACACACTGCCTATTAACAATTGATCTTGCCCCAATTTCTTGTTCACGAAAACTGGCTGCAAAGTAGGGCCAATCTTATAACCAAGATGGCGTAATGGCCTTCACCCCAGTCTAACTTTCACGATGGAGCTCCCTGTGGATAACAAGATCCCTTTCGTCGGCTTTGAAATCGTCAAGAACGGAACTAAACTTGAAACTCAAGTTTACAGGAAACCAACAGACACTGGATTGCTCCTGCACTTCCAAAGTCACACTGATGAACGCTATACAGACTCTTTATTACAGACAGGATACATCGTGCCTATGCCCTGTCGTCTACAACAGAGGCTTTCAATGCAGAATGTGCCAAGTTGCGCTCTATATTTAGTCGCCTTGACTATCCGATGAGTTTTATTGATTCTGCTATCAACAATTTTCTTTTTCGAAATACTTCTGCGAACAAAGCAGAAAGAAAAAATGACGAAAGTAGTATAGTAAGAATTAGTCTTTCATTTAAAGATCAAGTGGCCGCTAATGCGGTTCGGAAGCAGTTACGCGAAGAAATTAAGTTATAGGCAGTGTATTGTTTATCTTTTTTCATGTGATCTGTGTGATGCAGATTATGTCGGATACACAGCCCGATACCTTCATCATCGCCTTGCTGAACACAAAAATTCGGCAATTGCTAGACATTTCTTAGAAACTCAGGTAACAACAACCTCTTGAAAGAAAACCAATTCACAGTTTTAAGAAAATGCCAGGGCAAATTTGATTGTTTAGTATTTGAAATGGTCTTCATCAAGAATCTTAAGCCTAATTTAAATATCCAGACGGACTCCATACGTGCGAAACTTTTTGTTTAATACATCTTTTTAATCATCTTTTTCTCACGTTAGAGCTTTTAATCAGCTATTGTTTTTCANCGCTGGTGAGAGCGCTCTTCGAGGTATCTAAAACAAATCTTAAGTGATCGCTAAAGTCAATCAGAGGAGAAGAAAAATTTCCCACTGAACGAAAGAGAGAACAATAAAAAAAAAAAATCAAAACAAACAAACAGACAGTTTAAAGCGCAGGAAAACAGAACAACCAAGACGAGTTTGGATTTAGTTTTGAATCTGATTGGCTGAGAGGATTACACGAGTTTTCTGCACCACTCACATATCAAATTCAAGCAAAACTAAATTGACCCTACATTGTCAACGATACTCAATTGAATATTGCTCTTTAAAAATAAAAATTGAAATTATTGAACATTACCTGTTCATCACTTAACTCTGACCTTTGAGCCCATCTAAAAAGGTCTTCGTATACGTTGCCATCGAAGCGTCCCAGTGGAGAGTTGAGTACGTAATCTGAATGATCAAACGCGTCAACCAAAGCCACTGCTTCAGGTCTTTATGTTGAGAAAAATAGAAACCAAAAAAAAAGAAGTTGAATCGAAGAAATTCAAATTAAACCTTCTTTACTCGACGCATTTTTCTTACCTCGCATCCAAATATTACGAACTTTTAAAGGCCCTCTTCCCAAAATTCCCGGTAACTCATGTATAAGGGACCCAAAGCGTCCGGCGTTAAGCCACATCTAAAATTCTACATTCAGGAACAGAACTGGGAGTGTTCGCCAAATGACAACTCCATAATATTTCGTTACCAAAAAATTTTTAATAATGAATTTCAAAACTACCATTAACTCATCGGAATCTGTAAATATTAGCAAAACTTTCGAAAATTAGGCATCTTCATTCCAAATAACTTACCTGAGTTTGTCCATCAAATCAAAAACTTGCTGTCGTATAATTTTAGTCTGAGCGCAGTTAAGAACCCCAGCCTAAGACGAAATGGAAAAAAATATCAAATGATCTGATGTTGAACGTGTTTTCCTATCTTTCATTTTCATAC